GCGGTCCAGCTTCTTGGACATTGCTTCATCGACAGCGAGTATCGCGATCTGCAGACAACGGGCCCAGGCATTTAGACTGTCAGAATCAAAACTTTCCGTGCTCAAATTCCCACTCACCATGACACTTGGCTCTCGGGTCTTGACTCGAGCAAGGACCGGCACCAGCTTCTCGGTGATCGTGTGCTTGTCGAGGATATCTATCATGCTGTGGAAGCACATCAGAGTCTGGATCTTGCAGGATAGCGTGCGGGTGCCAACGAATAGCTTGACGAGTGCTGGATAGGTGACCTCCTTCACGTGTGCGTACTCCAATACTTGGCAAAGTCGCGGTACCGTTTGCAATGCGCGCTCTTGCACAATCACTTGCTCCGCTTCGAGAGCCGAATACAGCAGAGGAGTTACTTCTGTTAGCAGGGGAAATAGGGGACCTCCTGGGGACGTCAGCAGCCCGCGACTCTCGATGTGGGATCTCCCACGCACCTTCTCGGAACACCGGTGGGCTTGTCTTCGAGACGAAGAGTTCCATTTGGTCAAGCAGAATCACTTGAGGCCGCAAGCGGTTAGCAAAAGAGGTATCGGTATTCGCACACGGCCTCACTCACACTGATTTTGAGGAGGATCTTGCAGGGAGAACAGCGGCTTCAATTTGGGCAGCACGTTGTTTGTGAACTCGATCGAGCTCAGGTTTGTGCTGATGACGAAGACGTTGGGCTGAGCCAAGAGGCGTCAGTAGACCGTCAGCAAGCCAGAGTCAAACCGCAAGAAAGACAGCCTCGTACATTCTCGGGCTCACCAAGATAAAAGGCAGCAGAGATCTGTCGTTCATCAACTCCAGCAACTGTACACCACGAGGAGTCAGCGAACAGTGGCCTAGCACGCTTGGTTGCAAAGAGACTTACGGCCGGGAGCACCTTGCGCCGTTGAAGCCGCTGGCTGAATTGCTCTAAAATCTTGAGCAAGCCCTTCAAGAATTGAACGCGCTCCTCGCGTGACCTTCCAGCAAAATTGTCACGCTCCATGAACTACGCAAATAACGTGTGATTGGTCTGGCTCAGTGCTGGCTTCGTGAATCAATCCAATTTGTGCTGCGTCTTACCTTGAGAGTTCGCACTAGAACATTGCTTTAGAGCGCCGGGTCTCTTGACTGAGCAAGGCGGCTTGCTACTTTCACTCGTGCCTATTACTTACTTGAAATATCTGTACCAAGCACACGCAAGGTTCGTGCTCTGGTGAGCAAGCTGAAGGCAAGCTGAAGAGGTAGTCACGAGCACTCACTCGGAGTTTTGAAAGTCTGCT